AGATGATTAAGGCAGGATAAGCGAGACTTTAGGAAAAGAGAGACTTGTGGGCTTCCGTGGGGTTTAGGGTTTAAGCAGATCTGACAGAGAAGTGGAGCGGTCGGACGTAATGGAAAAATGAACAATGGCGGGCAGCTTAAGCACCTAAGACGGCGATGCCCTAGTAGATGGATGGTTGTGTGGAGTGCAAATTTTAAATGAGTGCATGGTTGATCATGCTATTGAGTCCTGCTCTGTCTGTGTAATTCTCTGTTATTGTTCTTCCTCAGCTAGCTCGCCAGGTTGTTTCGTATATTTACAGACGAACAGTGATCCTTTTGAAATCCGAATGTTAGGACGAATGTTTTTTTTTTGTGTAGATTAGGCTAGGGTATACTCATAAGGGTAACAATGGCACCTTGTTAGAGTTGGATGTGGGACGGAAGAAGGACCTAAGCTACTTGCGATCCCAGCTTCTCACCGGACTCCCGAAAAGGACCTCAGCCACCGGGGCCTGGATAATCCACTCAGTGCCCCGTGCGGGTAGCAATTTTTCTAATGGGATGGGGGACGAACCACGATAGAGGGGGCTAGGTGATGAAGAAGGACTCACTGACATTCATTGTGGAGGAGATTCTCCTATGAATAGTGTGCAGGTAGTATTGGGATAGTTCTCAAGTCTTCTTTTGAATATGACGGATGTTGTGTCATGGTTGATCTCTTGTCTGGAACTTACGTACCCCAATCATCTCTCTAATACTTTTAACACTTATGTCACCGATGTGATCTAACCACTGCAAACGACCGGAATCATCGTTGTGTACAAAGCAAGCTTGACGGGGTTGCGATCTGCCAAGCTAGCTGTTTTGGCTTCCAAAGGTGGACCAATAGAGTACGCCAAAATTAGACAATGGCATGTATGTGCTTAGAGGTAGTTGTACTAACAATTGACACTTGATTATCCATGTTGCCTCCAATGTCATGCATCGACCGTTAGCAGTGCTCTCTGATCCTGGTTGCATCTCGTATTGTAGGCTAGCATAAGTTCTGAGAAGTGGTGTGTTAGGCGTTGAGCGCCAATCAAGAAGGGCAACAATGGATATATTGTTGATTGTTATACACATCTAGATGTGTATAAGAGACAGGTTCTGAGAAGTGGTGTGTTAGGCGTTGAGCGCCAATCAAGAAGGGCAACAATGGATATATTGTTGATGGTGGCGAGAAGAGGCTAACACTGACATGTGAGTTCATTGTATTGCTCTTATTTGGCTTGTAAAAAAAAAAAAAAAAAAAAAAAAAAAAACCAAACAAAAAGGACACTCAATACAACTCGCAAAAATGGCTTAAAACTGAAAGTGTCTCGTACTGCAAAGTGTGATGTACACCAGAAACAATGTACAGTTCTGCCAAAAAGAGGCGACTGAGAAGTGTCTGTCAAATATCTCACTACCTGCAAAAAAGTGGTGTCTCAAAACAGAAAGAGGCAAGATTCGGATATGTAACTATTTTGACCAACAGACGAACATCGAAAAACCAAAGCGGAATCAAAGAAAAGGCCCGACAGTAGTTTATGGAAAGGAAAACGAACTACTGTCGACCGTGAAGTAAACACTCTTGGTCAAAACAACTCACTGAAAAGCTATCCTAAACTGATGGAAGTAACGAACCAGTCGCTACTTCCATGTCCCCGGCATCAGCAATGGCGGCAAGAACAAACCAGCGGCACGAACAACCAAGTTGTGGCAGCAGCAAAATCACGAGAACATGGCTTAGCGACAGCAGCAGATGAAAGACCACCTGAAATGGGCTTACCGACAGCAGCAGTGTCAGCAGTAGATAAAAGCCCACTAGACAGCAGCCAAGAAAAGGAGAGTAGCAGCAACATTAGAAGCAACAGCAACAGCAGCAACAACAACAACCGTGGAAATAGCAATTTACAGCAGCAGTAGTGCAAGCAAGGGAACAAAGCAACAAAACGGATCTTGGACTACAGCGCAGCAGTGGTGGTAATTATAGAACTATATCACATCGTCGATAGTTATAGAACTATATCACAGCAACAGTAGAAATGGCAGCAGCGATGTAGGACTTTAACAACCAACGATGTTTCTGGACTTAAAACGATATAGGACTATAATACAACAGCAGAGACAAAACGTAAACACTACCAGCAGCGGAGAAACCACAAAAGCAGCACCAACAGATGACACAGGATTAAGAAAAGCAAGGAACGAAGACAAAACTTGAACAGCAAGAGTAGTGGATGGTGGCCTTCAAAGCAAGGCAAAAGCGACAGCTAGCAAACCAGTGACGAGGGGAATATGCAAATGCCAAAACTTTTAGCTCCCCCCTAAGAAATGAAACAAAGTGTGCACAGTGCTCGACCTTTCCTTCCAAGAGAATCTTATCTCTTGAGGGTGAATGGTTGCTCATGACCGCCACTTACTGGCAAGGTCTACCTCGGCTCTTGCCGGAATGCAACCGAACGACATGTGCACACTGACAAAGCTAGGACATCTACTAAGGTACAGATCTGAAAATAATTGCAAGAAAGCAGACGATATATAATATTATAACAGAAAGTTGTTATAGAACTATATGTGCCCTTACAAGAGTTTAGAGACTTGTACCTAGGCAAGTCAACGTGCGCGGCTGCGCAGACCTACCACGGCGCCACCCTGGGAGCTAACTACCTCCTCTCCACCGATCTTTCTTTTACAACCACGAGTATTGCCCGTGGCTCTGCTGGAATCCTGGCTCTGTGTGACGTCTTCCCTCTCAGGATCCGCAGACAGTCTGGTGACTTCACCAGTCTCGACAGTGACTGCCTGCTGATAAGAAAGTTCGCCTTCTTCACGCTTGCCCTGCAGCGCTGGCAGTTTGCGCCTCTTCCATGCTGCGCCGAGATCCTCCCTCTCCACGCCATGCTGAACGGCAGCGACCACAACTTTTTTCTGCCGCAGAAGGTACATTCGCCCTTTGCTGCTAATCTGCAAGCAGCGCCACATCCGTCCCCTGCTGTTGGGCAACTGTTGTTGCCTCTCTGCTGACACTGGCCTCCGCTGTAGATTGGCCCACTGCTAAACAACCAGGAACCGACTCCTGATTCTCAGTGGTCTTTTCGTGTGTCACCGAATCGTCGTCCCCGGAGACCTCAATGTCCGCATCCTGCTGGTGTTCCTTCCCCTTGCCCTTTCCCTCTCTCGACTTTTCTCTTCTTAATGTCTCCTCGATGTCGGTGAGGAGTCTCATCCAGATTCCCTTTGCACAGCGTTTGTCCAGTTCCACAACAAGGCAGTTCCTGTCTGCCAAAACGCAGGCAATGGCCCCCGTACCTGAGCTAGAGAAGCCGTCCAAAACCGTGGTGTCGGGAGGTGAGAACTTCCTGACCAACCAGGAGTACAGAGTGTACGGCTTTTGGAACGGACACAACACCAAGTTGTCACTCAAGTGCACAAACTTGCGCGTGACCATATCAAAAAGCTGAAAATTGTGGCATGGATCGGTCGAGGAAAAGTTATAATGAGCCATCTCACGGTGCCCCGTCACATTGTAGTACCCCAGCGAACTCCGTCGCGCTGACAAGCCTGGGGCCACCGGGATTTGTCACGTTGGGCTTGCACCAGGTGAGAAGCTCTTGGCCAGCATTGCAGACTTTCACAAACACCCCCACAATCCTCACACAGACGCACACACGCGCAGACACAAACACAGACACACACAAACACATACATCTTAAGTTTTTCATTCTTCTTCTCCTTCTTCTTCTTCTTTTTCTTCTTCTTTCTTTTCTCTACTTCTTCTTTTTTTGTCTTCTTCTTCTTCTTCTTCTTCTTCTTCTTCTTCTTCTTCTTCTTCTTCTTCTTCTTCTTCTTCTTCTTTCTTTCTTCTTCTTCTTTCTTCTTCCTCCGCGACCTCCTCCGCTCGCCTCCTTCTTCTTCTTCTACTTTTTCTTTATCTTCTTCTACTTCGCCTTCATTCTTCTTCTTCTTCTTCTTCTTCTTCTTCTTCTTCTTCTTCTTCTTCTTCTTCTGTCGATGTTTGCCTCAATCAATCAAATAATCGAACAATCAAACAATCAATCAATCAATCAGCCAATCTTTCGTTGTTTGCTTCCGTCGATGTTTTGCTTATGACGCCCGCTGTCCTCTTTTTTTTTTTTTTGGGGGGGGGGGGGGTGTTCCGGTCGCAATCATCCAATCAATCAATCAATAAACTAATTGAACAATCAATCAATTAATCAATCAATTAGTCAGTAAACTAATCAATCAATCAATCAATCAATCAACCAATCAACGAATCCCATCGAATCCATTGGTCTACATTTTGTATGTTCTTTGTGGATTGGTGAAAATTAATTGCACTCATTTTCCTTGCAAACGAGTGCACTATTTATTTTGCTATTACTATTATTTTCCATTCCCTCCACATGCACATGCACACACATGAACACACAGACGTGCACATATAGACACACACACACAGACACACACACACACACAGACACACGAAGGCTTTCAGCCCTCCGTCAACCCACAAACATACAAACACACATAGACACACACACACACAGACACACGCGTCTGGCAACCCCCGCCTCCACTTTCTTCCCCCCCTCCGCGTTCTCCCCCTCCCCGCAAAGGCATTTAGCCCTAAACCAACCTCCCCTCCCCGCAAAGGCGGCATTGTCTACGGGAGGATATAAGGAAAGCAGGGTCTGGGCCCCAGACTTGGAGAGCAAAGCAAACACGCTACTTTTGTGGAGATTACAGTGGAACCTCCCCCTCCCCGCCCCCCCCCAAAAAAGGCTTATAGCCCTATACCAACYTGCTCATTGCTTGACTACTAGGACATCAACGTGATTTGCCATTTGGATTTCGTTGCTTCGTTCACATTCATGTTCCTTGTTGTTTGGTATCGGTACTTCGTTCACACACACACAAACACTTACACACACAAGTTTGCAAAATTGTTCGTTGTATTCGTCTTCTAAATTGTTATCCGTCTTTCTGCTTTCGCAGAGATTCCTCCAAGGTGAAGAACAAAGTGGGACATTCGAATCCGRGCAGGGCTGTTTCAGCACGGCCAAGTCAATCACGCGGCAGCGTAGGGGGACCAACAGCGCCTGGGGTTGTGTTCGCTGAGGAACCAGAATTTGAGACGCAGGTCGACGACGAGATGAACGAAGATTTTGACGATGAAGAGGTGGCAGTTGAGGAAGAGGAGGAAGAGGAGGCAGAAGAGGAGGAAGAGGAGGCACAAGAGAAGGAAGAGGAGGAAGAGAAGGAAGAAAAGGAAGAGGAGGAAGGAGAAGAGGGAGAAGAGAAAGAAGAGGAGGAAGTGGAGGAAGAGGAGGAAGGAGAGGAGGAAGATATGGAGATTGCCTGTGGGAAGGGGAAAGAGAAATGGGTGAGGGATACACTCGTAAACACGAAATTGTGAAAAGACCTTATTCCGTTCTTCTGGGCCGTCTGCCTCACAGCTGCTGGAGTAAAGTTGTGCGTGCAGTCGGAGAACAAGGCACAGTATAAGTGCTACGGCGAGATCGTCTGTGCGAGTTGGATTTTTGAGAACAAGCAGTACTTTGCTGAAATTTGGGTCATTGCTGCCAACAAGCTTGTGAGCTTCATACTTCGAAAGAAGAAATTCGTGCCCAGCAAATTTCCAATAGAGAACAAAAAGTTCACGGCAGCAAACAAGGACTTCAAGGTCAGATTTTGTGACAAGAACTGTCGGCCCATCTGTCAAAGCGATTGCCTTTTTTGGACTTCATCATGGTGTCGTGGTATTGTCCAATACCACAGTGCGTTGTGGTACTGTCCAATACCGCGGTGCGCTGTGGTTTTGGACTTTACCACAACGCACTGTGGTATTGTCCAATACCGCGGTAAGCTGTGGTATTGTCCAATACCACAGTGCGCTGTGGTATTGTCCAGTACCGCAGTGCGCTGTGGTATTGTCCAATACCACAGAGCACTGTGGTTTTGTCCAGAACCACAGTGCACAGTGGTATTGGACAATACCGCAATGCGTTGTGGTATTGTCCAATACCACAGTGCACTGTGGTATTGTCCAATACCATAGTGCGCTGTGGTCTTATCCAACACCACAATGCGTTGTGGTTTTGGACTTTACCACAACGCACTGTGGTATTGTCCAATACCGCAGTGCGCTGTGGTATCGTCCAATACCGCAGTGCGCTGTGGTACTGGACAATACCGCAGTGCACTGTGGTTTTGTCCAAAACCACAGCGCACTGTGGTTTTGTCCAAAACCACAGCGCACTGTGGTAATGGACAGGTAAAGTCCAATACCACAGCGTAGACAGCGCACTGTGGTATTGGACAATACCACAGTGCACTGTTGTTTTGTCCAAAACCACAGCGCACTGCGCTATTGGACAATACCACAGCGCACTGTGGTGTAGTCCGATACCGCAGCGCATTGTGGTATTGGACAATACCACAGCGCACTGTGGTTTTGGACAAAACCACAGCGCACTGTGGTGTAATCCGATACCGCAGCGCACTGTGGTCTTGGACAATACTACAGTGCACTGTTGTATTGTCCAATACCACAGCGCACTGCGGTATTGTCCAATACCGCAGTGTGTTGTGGTATTGGACAATACCACAGAGCACTGTGGTCTTGGACATTACCACAACGCGCTGTGGTAGTGGACTTTAACAGAATCATGTATGTCGCTTTCTGTCGCAGCTGCTGTCGGTTTGGTGCTGTTTCCATTGCTGCTGATTTTTCTGTTCTTATTATGACTGTGTTCTCGTTTCACTCATCTGTTCTTTGACACATTTGTTTTTGCTTGTGTGTGCAAAGATTCTTCCAAGAACTTGCGCATTACTTAAGTCCCCGTTTGACTCGCAATCTTCTCCCATTCAAGCCGCAGCCAAAGCCTGCAGGGATCGCAACCCCCGGCCCGTCGAGACACAGGAGTTCGAGTGAGAGACCGAGGGCTGCGACTGATGTTGTTTCCCCGCAGACATGTGTGGAGTCATCAGGACCTCTGGAGAGAGGATCGGGCACGGAAGCGAGGGGTGGAAAAAAGAAGATGTGCACTACTAAGCCTGCTGCGTTTGACAAAGGGAGAGGGAAAGCTACCACGTCTGAGAAAGGGAAAGGGAAAGGTACTGCGTCTGGGAAAGAGAAAGAGAAAGTTGCACAAGAGGAGCTGCAAGTACCTCGAGGTCTCGTGCCAGGCGAACTTACCGACGAGATGGCACGGGCCTGGGACGAACTTCAAAGTTTGCAGCAGAAGAAAATCTCCCAAGAGCCATTTTATCTGCCCATGACATGTCTCAAGAGACCATCGGTGGATGGGACCGGAAACAGGTCTTTGGAGGTTCGGGAGCCCGATGAAGATCATGTCTCGACGCTCATGGACTCCATGATCGCTTGCCCGACTGGAGATCATCTTCCCTTTGTTGGTGTCGTGGATCCAGAGGAAGTGAAAGACAAGTCGGAAGTGGATCTCGACCGGTTGAGAAGGGGCGGCTACAACATTTACGCGCTTGGAGGTGGACATTGTCGGGAGGCGAGAGAACGACCGAGACAGATCTACCCGGATATGGACGACTACAACTGGAATGTTTGCTATGTCTATGCAGGTCTTTCGACGGATGAGGCAAGGCAGATGGCACACAAGCACAATCTGGCAGCTCGCTACCACAGAGACATGAACTTCATCGAAAAGATGAAATGCTGGCGGAATGTCTTCGAACGAAAGGGCTCTGTGAAGATTGCGGATGTCAAGATAGCTTGCCTGCGCGAATATGGGATACCAGTCAATCCAAAGAAGATGTAGACCAATGACCCGCTGTTGCAGATTGCCATGTGCCCGAAAGAGATCTGGGACCTGCAGTTGAAGAATTTTGAGATGTGGAAGAGGGGAGAGGCGAAGGACCAGAAATTGAAGCCTGTGGCAAAGAGCCAGATTCGTACGGAGGTCACTCCAGAATCCAGCGAATCTGAAGGCGGGAAGCAGACAAGGGAAGAGAAAAGGCTGGACAAGGCAGCGGCAAGGGAATAGGAGATGGCGTTTTTCAATCCCCACCTGAAGTTAAAGGACAACAAAATCCCGATGGTGCCATGCGACATGCCCGCACAACCATGCATTACGATGGGCAACATCCCTCCGGAAGCAATCGTCCCTGTTCTGACGGTGGTCACCTTCAAACAGATCTCCCTCGACGAAATGGAGAGGAAGTTCAAGGTCGTCAAGAAATTTGGCTACGTCGCGAAGACCTTCTGCGATGGTGTGAAGTGCAAGGACTTCAAAACTGCTGAAGAATTGTATCCTTTGCACACCACAACGGATGTTCTTAAACCCTTCATCAGCAATTTTTGACAGGCGCGGGGCTAAGCCCACTGCTTTGTTGGACCAAATAGAACGAGCCAAGGAGTGGAGGAAGATGGAGGACAAGAGAATAAAGGAGGCAGAAAGAGCAACTCGCAATTTCTTTCGAGCTGCGACTTTGGACGAGCCTTTCGCTGATTGGACGGAGGTCAAACATGATGGGTGCGCAGACCTGGTCAAGGTGATTCAGGGTGACATGTTGCATTTGTCACAGCTRTTGAAGAAAAAACTGMCGATTTCTCTCGCTATCTTTGACTTTCCCTACGGTTCTGCCTATAAAGGTCATGCACGTGACACGGAGCCATTCCCTGAGCATGACATTGTGGATGTGCTACAGAATGTCAAGTAGGTAACCAGCGCAGCACTGTGGACAGTCGCTGGTTTCTCCTCTGTGGACAACAACTTGAAGCCTTTGTGTGTGTCTGTGTTTGTGTCTGTGCGTGTGTGCGTCTGTGTGAGGATTGTGGGGGAGGGGGAGGTTGGTATAGGGCTATAAGCCTTTGTGTGTGTCTGTGTGCGTCTGTGTTTGTGTCTATATTTGTGTCTGTGTTTGTGTATGTGCGTATGTGTGTCTGTGTGAGGGTTGTGGGTATAGGGCTATAAGAAGGAGAAGAAGAAGAAGAAGAAGAAGAAGAAGAAGAAGAAGAAGAAGAAGAAGAAGAAGAAGAAGAAGAAG